ATATATATATCTATTTTTTTTTTTTTTTTGGATTATGAGTTTCTTGATCATTAAGCTAGCGGAATTTGTTTTCCTTCTTTCAAGAAAATAAATCAAAGAACAATGACTATATAGAAAAAGGCAGAAGTTGATATTTGGAAGGTCAAGTTTACTTGGTTTGAATTTTCCTTGAAAGATTTATGGTTGATTGATTTATAATCATAAACTTTTTTCTTACCTTGGTTTGAAAGGAAAAGATTTTTCTTACCTTGATACATGAAAATTGATCTAATTGTCAAGAAATTAATCTCTAACAACAGTAATTTGGGGTGACAATCATAGGATACATAAATTTATCATAACATATTCACTTATATCAACCAAGTAGTGCATTTCCACGTGGCCTAGTGAAGCATTGGACCCACAAAATTAGCTTTTCAAAGTGAAAGAGGTGCTTCCTTATTGTGTAAACATGACAAGTGTAGAGCAATGCAGCTAATGTTACCGCACCGAAGGATATCAATATCAATATCCAGAAATCCTGATCAAACATATTATAGCATGAGCAACTGTTCAAAAAATGTTACTAAATGTTTGAAGCAAAAGGGTGTGTGATGTTCATAAACATGCAAAACTACCTGTGGATTTGAGATGAGTATTCCCATGACATAACCCATCAAATCCATGCTCGATTGAAGAGAGTTCTGAACACCTCCTACCACACAGCGATCCGACTCCGGAACATAATCCTTTCAAATGTGGCAAAGAACCAAAAACAAAGGAAGAGGAAGAAGTGAAACAAGTTAGGTATACACGAATAAATATGAATAGGGGTTTGTCCCCAGTCATTCATTCATCAAGAACCAGTCTAATAGTACAACATGGGCTGTTTAGTGCGCATGATTAGGGAGGACTGTATAGAATGACATTTTAATATTGTGTTTGGCGAACATTTTAAAGGACTTTTTGTCTAGTTCATGAGATAACTTTTAACTAGAGTTCATTCCAATCCAGTCCTTTACAAGTTAGCTGAAATTTGAAGATGGAAGGAAGATGAAAAGGAGAAGAAACAACCATAAAAGGGACTTGAGGTGAATGAAAGTATGTTGATTTTTCTCTCACTGGTTGTGTCTTGTTTCTCTAAATATCCAAGTATTTATAGACTTCTTGCCCCTAGGAATATCTAAAACCAGTCTCTTAATTTATATAGTGGATTTCTTGAATTTGATTACATTTTGCATGCCTTACAGTTGTCATTGAGGCTGGTTAGGTGTCAAACATCATTCGACACTTTGACACTTATTCTTGATGCTATCCAGCTGTTGAAAAGTTGTTTGAAACATGATTTTTATTGTCAAGTTGATAGTTTAAAATACTTGGTTTTCTTCAGCAACCAGCACCTTTTAATAGCTTTTTTAGTTGTCAAATTTTTTAAACTAAAATTCAAGTTATTACTAAGATTAGTTTAGAAAAGATGATAACTAAAAACTGTCTGTAAAAGGACAGCCACAATAAGATTCAAAGGTGTTAGTTGTTAAAGAAAACTAAGTATTTTAAAGGGCTATCGGCTAGACAACAAAAAAGCAGGTTTCAAACAACCATTCAACAGCTACACAACTCAAAGAACAAGTGTCAAAGGCCGTTTGACACCTAACCAGTCTAAAAAATACATGTCAAATGGTGTTTGACACCTGATCAGCCTCAATAATAGTTGACAAAGGGCATACAAAACCTGATCAGCTTCAAGAAAACCACTATACAAATCAAGAGACTGGTTTTAGAAGTTTCTAAGGATAAGAAGTCTATAAATTCTCAGTCATTTTATAGAAACAAGATACAATCAACCAAAAAGAAAAATCGGTAAACTTTCATTCCCTTTAGTTCTTTCTTCTCCTTTCACTCTTCCTTCCATCTTCAAATTTCAGCCAAGTATATCAACCGTCTAAGTCCTAGATACACATATCTCTTTCTTTCTTTCTTATTCTAAACAATCAAAAAGTCCCTCTAGATATCAAATAAGATCAAGATCCTAATCTAAAAGCTATTGAGCTACAAAGCCTAAATTTTCAATTATGTTTGTAGTATTATTTACACTTAAAATATGTCTTTATAATAAAACCTATTCATAATACTTGGTTCATTTAGCTATTATCTCTTTCCTTTTCAGAATTTTTACATTTTATGTAATTTATTTAATATTATTTTCCAGTTCTATGAACTGCTCCATGCTTTATTTTCATTTCTTTTAGTTGATTAATTCAGTTATCCAATCATGTCCTTTTATTTTATAATTAATCCAGCTACCCTGTCCTTTTATTTTATTTTCATGTTGATCCAGTTATCTAGTTCTGTTGTTTAAATTTATGTATAATTCTAGTCTGCTGGTCTAGTTTATTATTCTTCCGTTTTTCAATCTAATCCTTTGTGTTTATGCACTTTTATTTTTACTAACTTAATACCCTTAATGTATTATGGTTATCATTTTTATTAGTGTCAAAAGAGTAGTTCTAATTTTATCACAAATAAAATCTCAATCATTGTGAGAAAATATACTATACAAAAAAGGTCAAAAATATGGTTTAAAGTTTAAACTGCGAACCAATTGTCTATTGTTAATATTTCTGAAAATCTAACGGTAAGAATAGTGTTCTACTTTGACACACAAATTTTTTTTTAATTATTATTATTTTTTTTTTTCCTCTTACTTGCATTTGTTGAATTACAGATAAGTCAAAAGGCCACAACCCAAGCCGAGATAATGCCACTCCTGCCATCAGCATATGCGCAGATATGATGCTATTTTGAGCCCATATTGAAGCCACACAAACCAGGAGGCAGATCCACTACATGTGAACCAACCCAGGAAGACATTTCTTAGTTGTCTTTAGGAGGAATGAACAAGAAATTACTAAAATTTATTCACGACAATCACTCTGAAGTGCTTTTTTATGTGTGGTGAAGTTTTTACCTGAGACCAAATAGACCAGAGTCCTGTTCTAAGTGTTAAAATACGAGATTGCAAAATTGGGTACACGAGTGTTGCAGCAATGCCGATCACAGCGCTAATACCGCGCGCTATTCCGATGACAAACGCTGGTATCCCTTCCCATTCTAGGGTGGCTGTCATTAATGTTCCAAAACTGTAACACAAACACACACACACACACACACACACAAAAAGGTGACTTGAACCATTTAGTAAGTGAATGAAAAGCCACAAGAAAAAACACAAAACTCATGTTGATCAGAGGGAAGTTTGTAGGATATACTTAAATGTCCCAGTGGTAGAACTTTTTAGTTGTTTATATTCATTCCCCCTTATAAAAATTGTTGTTTTTATAGATTTCAGGTAAGAACTATAATACACATCATGAGAAATTTAATCATAAATTAACAAAATTTTGTCCCTTTCTTTTACATATAACAAGTTATATTTTAGTTTTATGATATATTATGAAACTATATATTGTTTTCCTTCAGCTAATAACTTAAAGCAAAAAAGAAAAGAAAAAGGTTTCACCTGAGAACAGTGAAATATAACAAAGCCAGAGCTATTCCAGGAAATACAACATCTTCCTGCAAATATACTCTCCATGCATTAAGATATGGAACACTTGAAACCAATCAAGTAACTTTTGTTATGAAACTTTCCTCACTTCTGCACTTTCCTGGTCATGAGAAAGAAAACTTTTTCTCTGCCGATGAGAAACGGATTTTCTATCTTCACTATCACTTTGTGAAGATATTCTTGAGGCCCTCCTCTGGCTACTTTGTTCTAAAGCTGGAATCCCGTTATACACGGAGATGAAAAGCCAACATTCCATCGAAACTGATATAGTATTCCATAGAGCCAAGGTCAGAGCGGAAGCTTTTAGTGACACAAAACTGATAATGAAGCCAGTAACCACAGGAGCACATAGTTGCAAGTGAGATCAATGCGTCTAATGACCGAGTTCATCTTCGTTAGATGGTCGGGCGAATGCCCTTCTGATATCACCACAATCCTAATTCATTATAAACATCGAATTAATGAAAAATATATACATGTTGTCAGTTTCAAGATCATGAGTTAAACACGTTATAATACGGGATTCTCTATGTTTTATCGAAATGTTGCATTTCATCCTATGTTTTCAGGTACGCTGCATCTGTTTCCTACATTTTTTAAGTTCTATAAATTGTGTTAAGACTATCTCTTACATTCTACTAATCGCTTTAAAACCTGTCCTGGTAAATTGTGTAAAAACCATCCCCAAACACGATTTGAGGAAATTAGGGTTAGATGCTGTATTCCTGCAAACATCGGGTGATACGCATCATTTTGATTAAACACATAAGAGGTTTTTGTCATTATCCTTAAAATGTGAGTCTTTCGGGTGATGTTAGGGATTCATGTAAGCTAGACGAGTAGAATAGTATAAACAAGGTTCGAGTTATTTCCGATTACCATTCTCTTTCGATTAGGATGGTGCCGGCAAGAGTGGAAAGCACTCCAATTGCTCCAGAGATGTTTGTTAATATCACAAGAAAAACGAATCCACTGAAGTTTTCCGACTTCAACGTTGAGTAAACAATTAATGCCACCACAGCGCCTCCAGCAACTATGAAAGAGAGATTTTGTGTTACCAACCAAAGTTGGAGAACCTGCCAAGTACAATTTTATATGTAAATTTGATTTAGAAAAGAGAATCCAGGGAGAAAAAAGAACCAAGATATAGACGTAGAACCACTAGAGAGAAGAATAGAACTAAAGCCGAGAAAAAGCTTCCAACATGATATAAAATACTAAATGAACAACTAAAAATTGGCATTTTTGAGACCCTTTTATATGTCAATCTATCCACCAATTGTCCAAGAATGGGTCCAAACAGTGCAGTAGAGGCAGATTCCACCACACCATAAATAGCAGCAAATAACAAAGAGTCTGGCCAAAGGCTTATCATGTACAACCCAACTGAGAATTCCCACATCCTGATTAAAACGCCACAAAAAAAAAAAAAAAAAAAACAAAAGCCCCTTCAAATGCTGGATTTTCTACCGCTTTTGAGAACAAACAAAGCCATATTAGGAAATGAAATAACCATCCGTGATCATAACATTAAACCTGATAAGAACTAAAGGAACTGAAGAATACTAAGGGGAAATAACTCAAAAAGTACATATATATGTGTATATATATAGACTATATATATAGACACACACAAACAAACCTGGCACCCCATCTGGCCAAGAAGTGAGCAACATATAGATATCTGATGAGAGTCGATGGGAAAGAATCGGTTTGAGAATTACAAGGTTGTTGTTGTTGCTCTTCTACTTCTTGGATAAGCGGTTCGTTCAAGTTATACATGTGAGTTTTTCTTCTGTAATTCAGTGCTTCTTTTAGCTCCTCCACTTTCTGAGTTCTAATTAGCTTGACCCTTGAAGCGGTTTACAGAACAGCTATGAGGGATTCTTGTTTGATTTGATTTGGTGGCTCTGATATGTTGATAATACTAACAAGGAATGAAGACAAATTGATACTTGACAAGGAGAAGTATCACTTTCTAGGAATAACTTGTAATATTAATTTATTTATTCTTGTAAGAGTAATAACAAGTGTGGTTACGTGGTGCAAAATCTCTGCACCACTGAGGAGTAGTTAGAAACTTAGAACATGGTTTTAAAGTTTAAAAGCAGCAAGAGTATGGCCGATTATTACTGTCCAGACCATTATGAAATAATCCTATGTCAGAAAAACCGAAATAACACTTTCAAATTAGATAGATGGTAATATTAGACGCAATATTTCCTTAGTGGACAGCTTCTGAGCTAATAAAACGTGGAGTTTAATAACAGGACATTCTAGGTAGGATCACTCAGTATGGTATTGATCGCGGCTATCAAATTTAAATCAGACGGTGTATATATTATATGGGGATGAATAGGATGCATCATGGATACTTTGAGGATTTTTTAGATTGTACTGTTACATCCACCTCATAAATGTCGTCTAATTTGCATTATAAAATTAAGGTGGATAACTCTTGTGGTGGGGTGCCTTGCCATATAATTTTTCTTATTATTACTTTTAATTTGCAAGTCATAATAGATTAAATATTTGGAATACTTACTTTGCAAATGCCACCTAAAATGTCCAAGTCAAAATAGATTAAATATTTGGAATACTTTACTTTGGCAATATTTGGAATAATTTGCAAATGCCACCTAAAAGAAATTAAAGATATTGAAGTGTCCAATTAAAAGCTAGCTTAACATTAAAGGGCAGATGAATAAGAGGTCCAATAATCAATCTTCTTTAAGTTCATTAATTGTTGAAATAGGGCCTTCTGCTCCTCAGTCTTCTACTTCAATAATAGGAGGGTAATTTTTACAACTACACCCTCAAAATGTTACATCAACTTATGATTAACCCCCAAATATTAGCTCTTTTATTTCTACCCCTTTAAATTACAATTAATCAAATGGCCCATTAATAGATTACCAAAATACCCTTAATGATGTATTGCTAATTTAAAAGATCCCGGCGGTATCTTTGGTCCCCGGCTGGCTGCCGGCGGGACCTCCAGTTGTCGGCCGGTGGGGTCTCCAGTCATGGTCAACGGATCTTCAGTGGCCAGCGCCGGCCATAATCCGTCAGGCTATATGATTCATAATGTGCCAGACTATGACCCATAGTCTGTCAAAGACTATATCTCATAGTCTGCCAGACTATAACCCATAGCCTGACAGGTTATGCCGGCCGTAAGTCTCCGGTCACCGGCATTGGCCATAGTCCGTCAGACTATGACCCATAGTCTCACAATTTATGTTAGCCACGGGTCTCCGGTTGCCGGTGCCGGTTATAACCTGTCAGACTACGATCCATAGTCTGTCAGACTGACAGACTATGACCCATAGTCTGCCAAATTATGACAAACTGTGATCCATAGTTTGTTAGGTTACGCTAAATTACAAATTCACATTGAGCAACAATTTACCACTTCCCAATAAAAAAAATTACATAAAATTAGAAATTTCATATTACAAAGAAAAAACACAAAATTTCAAAATCCATAAACGACAGTTCTTTAGCCAAATTCTTATTTTGTTCAGCATCAAATATAGTCTATTTTTTCCGCTGAAGTTTTAAGTAAACGAAAAAATTAGTAGGTGTTGAAAGTAGAAAATACCAAGATCATCAACAAAGTTAGAGTCCTCAATCAAAGTACGTGAAAGCAAAACAAAAAACAATAAACATCATACCTGCAAGTGATATCAACCTACATAAATAGCAAATGATAAAGATTCAGCAAGGAAACGTCAGAGCTCATTGTACACGACTTGAATGAGCAATATAGCTTTTACTTCTACAAGAGAAACCTGCAAGTGTTGAGAAAATATCATTGACAATCAGAAAAAAGAGCAGTTCAATTCAAATCTCCAAAAGAAAAAATAAAGTAGGTCTTCTTGCTATCTATAAGTAACCCCGCAAACATTATCAAACTCCGAAATTCCCAATCTGCAAATTATCACTATCAACACACTATAAAAAAAAATAAAAAAAAATAAAAAAAAACCAACAACAACAACAACAACAACAATAACAACAACAATAACTAAAAAAAAAAACCAACAACAACAACAACAACAACAATAACAACAACAATAACAACAAACACAACACCAAACATAACTCTGTGGTGAAAAGAAAAAACAAACGAAACAAAAGAAAACCCAACGGCAAGTCTTTACTCTAATTCTCATGCAAAAATATCCACCAACCAAAGTCCATCTGTTCATGTATGAAAATCCCCATCATTGAATGCATGATGCTATACTTGAAAGTTTCCACACACAGTTATTCTCGTTTTGTGCTTTGAACACTTGGGAAAATTCAAGTAAGACAAACCTCGCCAACTTGTTTCATAGATCAAAACGTCAAGTTGATCAAACTTACATGAACTAAAGTCGTAATCAGACAAAAAAAAAGCACGATTTAATGCTTATCAGGCCTTTTGAGACGCAAAAACCAGTTGTTAGAAATCAGTTCCCACCCGTCCAAATTCCAAAGCATTTCAAGATTTTTAAAACAACAGCCAGATCAGCCAAGTTAAGTTGCAGGTAATTGAAACTTCAAACACAAATCAAGTTCTTTCGAAAATTATTTTTTTGTGCATTATCTAGTCTTAGTCAGCCTCCATAACCGCTATACACCATCATTTTCCCATTTCTACTCGCAAGATATTCTATGCCAAAAGTAGCCATTACATTCTGAAAAAGATCTTAGTAAAAAAGAAAAATAGTAGTTGGTTGTGCCAATTTGCATCGAATTAATAATGAACCCGCGACAGAATGTCATAATTGCATATCTATCACACAACAAATAGATAGATCTACTGATCTACATACACACACACACACACAATGTAAAAAGTTAATACTTGAGGTTGATCTCACACTATGAATGCATGCGGTTCAAGGTGCTGCTTTATTATTATTTGGTATGGTTATACATATTTTATTTTCATGATAAATGATCAAATAAGATTTGCAAAAGGAGAGAAACAAACAAAGAAAAAACGCAGACAGAAAAAGAGAGGAAAAAGAAAAAACGCAGATTTATCAAAAGAATTCTCAACTGAAAACATTTCAAAGATCCTACTTTAACATATACACCAATTCATAACCCTAATCGTAACTCCTTCAAATATCGAAATTTAAAGAAAATTCTAACGAAATAACAAATAAGAAGAATTGAAGTCCTAACGGACATGAAAGCATACTAAACAGTTCCCAAAATCAAAATTTACAAGCAATTATTAGGTGAAAAAACGAAAAAATTAGGAAGCAAATACCGGCACGGAATTCGCCGTCAAGGTTCCGTTGGTGGCGATAACAGACGACCTCCGGAGCCCAAAACCCCATCGGAGGACCGAAACGCAGCGTTCGACATTGACACGAGTAGCCGGCCAGGACACGACAGCAAAAGGGAGGGCATCTGAGAAGCAAAACCAGATGACCCGAACCCAAACCCACTGCGGCGAGATGGCCGACGGCCATAGCTAGTGACTCCGGAACGAAAATGAAGGCCATGGTTCGACGGAGGCGGAGAAAGAGAGGAGAGAGGTAAGCTTCTGGCGGAGAGGAGAGAGACTGGGACGAGGGAAGGGGGAGAGAGAGAGGTCGTAGGTCGTAGGTCGTCGAGAGAGGAGAGAGGAAGCGGTGGAGATAGAGCGAGAGAGAGAGAGAACGAGAGGGAAAAGATGGGGAGAGAGGAAGCGGCGGAGATAGATTCGTGTGTTATGATTCGAACCATAGTTTATTAGAGTATTTTTTTTCATAAAAAATATACATAAATTAAAAATAATTTTAAATTATGATTCTGAATTTATCAATTAAATGTCTTTTAAATTTAGAGTTTGAACGTAATTGTATTTGTGGGTATTTTAGTCATTTAAAATATTGTTTAAATATTAAAAATCAATGAAAGGAGTAATATGTTTTAGAGGGGTATTTTTTATGGCTGTTCATAAATCTATGGCCCATTTAGTTCATTGATTTGAGTTGAAATATGACTTTATGTGAGAACTTTTTACTGTAGTAAAAAAGTTAGATGTAATTATTTTTTAGAGCTTTTTACTGTAGCAAAACTCAAATTTTAAACTCGAATCGGTGAAATGAACGAGGCCTAACAAAACCCGTAAAATCCGCCAAACTCACAGGCTCAATGCACCCCATTCTAATCTAACCTAAAAAATGCAATTTTTAGCATTTTTTTTTTCAGCCCATTCAATGTCTGACTTGAAATTTTATGGTGGGTTGTGGGTTGGGCCTATAATGGCCCGCACAACCCAACCTAACTCGCACTCTAACTTGCCTCCTTTAATATCTAACCATAGGCATGTAGCTCATTTATACTCTCTAATTTCTTCATATTTTAATTTAGCTTCTATGGTTGCTTTATGTTAAGACTAATTTATGCGTGTAAACTAATTTATGTTTGTTTTATATTTGATGTTGGATGGACTACTTTGCTTCATGTTTGATGTTTGATTGAACTTTGAATTTCTATCTGTTTGAATGTTGGAGTTATTATTTCTATTTGATTATGAACTTTGAATGTTTGATTGAACTTTGAATGTTGGATTGAACTTTGAGTATTTGATTTTTTAAATATTGAAACCAACCACCCATCTACCCCATACCGTCCCAAGTCAACCCAAACATCATTGGGTTGTGAAATTTTTCTAACATCGTTGGGATCAAAGATGTGCAACCCGCACCCTTTAGGGAGGGAGAAAAATTGGCCTAACCCCGCACCAACTCAACCCATGAACAACTGTAGTATTTTAAAGAGTTATTTATAAAAATAACACTTTATAGAACAACCATTTTATAAGTAGTAGTAGTTTTCCATATATTTTTACACTTTTTTATATTTTTATTTTTAACATTGTAACTTGAGAATTGAACCCGTACATTTATATTGTCTAAAATACCCTTTACAGATTCATCTTTCTCTTCGTTTTTCTCCGTTTTTCCTTTTCCCTATTGCCCCATATTCTTCTCTTCTTTTGATTTTCTCAGCGGGGTGATAGCATTGTCGCCGAAGACTCTGATGGCGACCAACAGATTCTTGAAATATGTGGGAAGGGATGTCAGAGAGATCTGACACTATCTTTCATGGAAGCTGAAGCAAAAAGCCGATGAAGAGGGTTTACGTTTGCCCTGAGAATACGTGTGTTCATAACCACCCGTTGCGGGCTCTCGGAGACCTGACCGGCATAAAGAAGCTTTTTTACAGGAAACATGGCGAGTAGAAGTGGAAGTGCGAGAAATGCTCGAAGCAGTATGCGGTTCAATCGGATTGGAAGGTAATATTATAGCACTTTGTAAAAATAGTCTAATAGAAAAGCTTTATTCATAAAATGACAATTAAAAAATTTTTATTTACAAAATGACTTTTAAAAAAAAAATATGACAATTAAATAATAAGTAATGGAATTTAATGAGATGACATGGCAAATTTTACTTTTTGAAGAAAAAAACGGAACCTCAAACCCTCCATCGAGCTCTCTTCTCCTTCTTCACATACTGTCATGACAACTTTTTTGGATTTCTTGACATTCATTCTCCTCAGCCATCACAAATCCGTAAGATTGAAGACATTTTTGTCATATTTTGTTTGATTAAGTGCTTTGAAGAAGAAGATATTATTGGAAGAACTTGTTGGAGAACAAAATTTGGAAGGTTAGTTTTTTTATCCTAAATCTCTTTGAATGTTTGTTTTGGACGATGTTTATTTTGAATATTATAGGTGCATTTAGCCGAAAATTTTACTATTTGTAAAAGAAAAAAAAGCCTTTGGGTTTGGAAGATGTCAGATGGCGAGGTTGAAGATGACAGATCGCGCATGACCTCTTTGGCTGAAACTTAGTCGCGCGAATGACGGAGGTCGTTCAAAGTGGGTCACACGTGACTATAATCCAGGAGGAACGACTTGGATTTCTTTTCACGTGACCATAGCATAATGAGGGTCGCACATCTTTTTCTTTTCAAAACGACTCTGAGCGACCTTACAAATCTATTAGTCGTTCAGAGTAATTCGGGGTCGTTCATAGTCGCACTGAATTTTTTCTAATATTAATGTTGTTTATATTTGTGATATAATTTTTGAATTTATGTTTTTCTATTAGCAATTATATTTCAAAATTCATTATAGGTATGGCTCCAATCTATGTCTTTCTAGAGTACGATGGTGAATGGAAAAAGGTAGAGAGCGGATCTTGGGAATGGTTTGGAAGTGGTTTAAAAAAGTGTTAGAGAGCCTTAGAGCGACCAAGAGGCAAACCCGAGCGACCTAGACGTCATTCTTGTTTAGGTGTGGTTGCTGGTGAAAAAAATGCACGAACGACCTTAGGGTCGTTCTTTTTCTTTTGGTAGTCGCTCGGTATCTTTCTCAGTCGTTTTAGAATGCATCCCATATCAACCCTAACTTTTGTCTTTCAATCTCAATACATAACTCAATCTATCAAGCATATGAATTGTGATTAAATGTAAAATTCTACATATTCACGCAAATCATTACGTTTAAGTATAAGTGATGCACTTGACCTTATGTACTATGGCATAGTAAGTATTATAGTCACATATGTTGTGACACTACCATGATGTTCTTATATGCCTTTAGAATTTCATCATTTAAATTAGACTAATTAATCCAAGTAATTCAAACTCGAAATTTGGTCACACACAATATTTATGTAATACGCACTTTGGTCATGTACTCCATTACCTATGCTTTGAGAAATTTAAAGCATTACTTAAATCATTTAAATCAAAATTAATAAATGATAATTTAATTGATTTTGACAATATAAGGGTCCCATAACCAATGACAATTCAATTGCTATTTGAAAAAAAAATAAAAAAAAAAGTGTTGGAGAGTCTTAGAGCGACCAAGAGGCAAACCCGAGTGACCTAGGTGTCGTTCTTGTTTAGGTGGGGTCGCTGGCGAAAAAAATGCTTGAACGACCTTAGGGTTGTTCACAATAGGCACCACCACTACCACCATTATCACCATCTTTGATGTATTCACATCGCGAGAATTGTTTCTCACACTCAGCATTGTGAGGACGGGGATCAAGGATGTTAAATAATGTATCCATTTAGCCATAACTAAATCAATCTTCACCATAATCGCCTCATTTTCACTGGCAATAGCTAACCGAATGTTGGCCATTATTGACTCCTCATGGTTTGCATGCAATGATCGTATCCTCTCATCATGGCTTGCATGCAATGATCGTATCCTCTCCTCATGGCTTACACGTAATGATCGCATCCTCTCCTCATGGTTTGCATGTAATGATTTGATCCTGTCCTCATGTTCACTAAAACGACGATCAAGAAGATGAAACATCTCTAAGGTTGGGCCATGATTTTTCCCAACTTGGGCATAGCCTCAAATAGAATGAAAAATATAACAAAATTACTAAAAACAACCAAATAGTAAATTATATTTAACTAAAAAAAGATAAGCCTAGAGTGAAACCTTACTTGAAATATCTATGGGCATCCAAAAAGGTTATATTGTTCAGTCCCCTTCTTTTTCCCTTGACACCTATGCTCCCACCTTTTTACGAAGTTTATCTGCTTCAAGTTTGTGAGTGTCAAATTATAACATTCAATTCCTCAAGGATATTGATCAAGGATTTTGAAGTCAGTGACATATTTAAACCAAGATGAATTAACCTGATTCTTCAAGTCTCCTAGCATCAAGAAGCCGGCTAACATGTAGACAAATGCCAATGGCACTCTATCCTTATTTTTGTCATTGTCTTTGCTCAACTCTTCAAGTTTCTTAAAAACATCATCTAAGGTAACACCTTTTGCACCAAGCCAATACTTATTCATTAGTGTTATTTTGTTCTTATGAGATTCAATTTCTTCTTTAGATGGACTACCACTTGTTTACAAGCCGGATACTAAGGCAAACTCATTGAGAGAGAACCTTAATGGTTTGCCCTCTGCTGAAAACCAAACCTCATGGTCCTTCTGGCATTCTACTCGCCTCAACAGTAAATGATGCATTAGTGCTCCTGAAAATTGTCCATCAGTAGGCAAGTCTAATAAGCAGCCAAGTTGAGGGAACCTCCGAAACTTAACTTGTTCTTTCTTTGTTAGCCAATTCTGAATATTATTTATAACATTCAGTTGTGACCGAATCGTGATTTTACCCGGAAAGTCTTCCATGGTCACTATACTTGGAGATAGTTTACGTAGCTTTGACGTGTGAATTATTCTCGGTATCTGTATTAATAGAAACAAACAATTGGTGGGAGATTATAAATATCAATCAAATCAATGAATTTTAGTTACTCCGTTGTTTAATGTTGCGTGACCGTTATTCAGATAGAATGACCATTGTGTTTAGCGCGCGACCAGAGCTTAATGTGGGTCGCGCGTCTAGTGGGAAAGGAACAACCATGAATGACCATCTGATATTGATTGGTCATTCGGGGTCGCTTAGACAACTTTCATCTAAATGCAAAACATAAATGCTGGCATATTGTCAAATGCTTTGTAGATTGCAACAATAAAATTTCTAATGTCTTACATATTGCACCACAAAATATAAAGTTCACTTCAACA